TTTTTTTTTTTTGGGGAGAGCCGTTTTCTCTCTCTCTCTCTCTCTCCCGGTTTATTTTTTTCGGGAGGCTCCAATCCCCTTTTTTTTACCGGGCACCAGAGGGGAGTGTTTGGGGGGGGGGGGGGGGGGCACACGCGGTGCTGGTCTACCAAGGAATGTAGCCCCCCCCCACTTTTTCCTGCCCCCTCCCCCCTTTCCTCTCATCACGTAAGAGAAGACGATTGATTGTTGTTCTGCGCGGATAATTCCAATAAATAACCTGCCCGCTGCCCTTCTCTTACCGAGTGAGGTAATCTTCACCACATCAATTGGACAAGCGATTTGTTGCAACGTCATAAATCAAATCCTCTTAGCGAGAGAGGGTGATCTTCACATAATGAGCTAGATCTATTGTCGTGTAGCTGCACAGTCATAAATCAAATCTTCAAATCACGACTAACACGTTTTAATACTTCCATTACGAATAGAGCCGACATGAACCTCTCCGGTGCAATGTAATATTAATTCTTCGGTTTGTTTTCTTTTCATTATTGTGTGGTGTGCATTTGTGCGTTGCCTCCTTCTGAAAAATATATGATTATCTTCACACTTTTATACTTTTTCTTATTAACATCACAATAAAAACTACTGTATAGGACGTACATAGGACGTATTGAAAAAAAAAAAGAGAATAATAATATTATTATCACCCTTCTAAATTACTGAACTCGTTGTACACTATCAAAGTAAGATTTAGTCATTACATTTATTACATAGCCTACTTGTATTAGGACCTTTGCTCTTATACATGCACTCTTCCTCCACCCCACCCCCTCCTCCCAATCCCCAGTTTCCTTTTCTCTGCACCCCCCCCCCCCCCCTCTTTTCCCCCTTGTTTTCCGAGTTCGATGCATTAATGAATTCGAGTACTTGCTGTTTGTGAATGCTTGTTTTCTGTGTGCGCATGCACATACAGGGGGGGGGGGGGGGAGGGGCGACGGCGATATCTATTTATTTCTTTTTGACTAAATCAATTAACGGTTGTACCGGGTATAATGACACAAAGAAAAAGCTAAGTGCAATAGTTTGTGCTCTCTGTGTATACATACTTCAACTGTAGCAATGTGCTGTGCCTTTGTTGTTGCACGAGTACCATATAACGCAGGAGCATGTTCGCAATGAAAAAGGAATGGGATTTGAGCTGAGGCGGTGAGCTGAAGAAAGAGATGATTCTCCGTGGATGAGCTGTGGGGAGGACGCAATAAATATTTATGGTTTATGTTGTATCGATCTGAGAGGTGAGTGGAGTGAAGAAAAGGCATCAAATACTGGAGGCTGATGGGGCTGTTAGGTCGAATCTTGTGAAGGTGTGTGTGTGTGTGTGTGTGTGTGTGTGTGTGTGTGTGTGTGTGTGTGTGTGTGTGTGCCTGCACTTGCATGCACGTGCTTGGAAGAGTGCATGAGATCAATGGATAACCAGGACGATAAAAAGAAATATTATTAAAAACTCACATTACCTATGTTTCTTTATGTTTTATGTTATAGCCTACCTATTTAATTATTTTTTCATGTTGAGAGAAAGAAAGAAAGAGAGAGAGAGAGAGAGAGAGAGAGAGAGAGAGAGAGAGAGAGAGAGAGAGAGAGAGAGAGAGAGAGAGAGAGAGAGGGGGGGGGGGAGAGAGAGAGAGAGAGAGAGAGAGAGAGAGAGAGAGAGAGAGAGAGAGAGAGAGAGAGAAGAAGAAGAAGAAGAAGAAGAAGAAGAAGAAGAAGAAGAAGAAGGACAAGAAAAAATGAAATTTTATCCAGTTCAAATTTTCAGTGAGGACTTCAAGAAACAACAATAATAATAATAATAATAATAATAATAATAATAATAATAATAATAATAATAATAATACTAATGATAATAATGATAATAATGATAATAATAGTAATTATTAATACTATTATAATATAATAATCATAATAACAATAACAATAATAACAACAATAAT